TGAAAACACTTTTAGAAATAGAGGAAGATGAAAATCAGAAATGGGTCAAATTTGAAAATGAGGCAAACAAAGGAATAGGGAAATATGGGATATTTACAAATAAAGGGGAAAGAGAAGATAAATTAGAGATGGGGCCTAGGAGAAATACATTGAGAATTTGGAAGAAATGGCGACAAAAATGGTTAAAAGGCATATCTAGATGGGCACCATTAGAGACTTTAGAAAAAGATAGTACAGATCATAGATGGTGGGAACTGCTTAGAGAAAAAGGATTGAGAAGAATAAAAGATATGTGTAACGGAGGAACTGTGAAGTCACTCCAAGCACTAGAGGGGGAGATAGGAGTAAAATATTGGTTGAAAATAGCGGGTCTACACAAGAAAGTCAAGAAGTTAATGGAGGATGGGAATGTAAGTACAGAGGAACCAATAGAAGAGATATACAAGAGAATGAAACAAAATAAGGGAGGATTGGTAGGGGCAATATATAAGAAAATGATTTCAGATAAGGAACAAATAATTATACAATTACAAAGAAAATGGGAGACGGAAACACAAATAACAGAGCAAAAAGCTATAAAACTCATGAACGGAATTAAAAAGATTAAATTATATAAGTTTAAAGAACTGGAATTAAAATTTTTTACCAAATGGTATAGAACCCCAGCAATGTTGGCAAATATGTTTCCAGGACTAAGCCCTAACTGTTGGCACTGTAAAAACGTAAAAGGGTGGTATTCACATATGTGGTGGGAGTGCCCAGAAGTTAAAACTTTTTGGAAAAATATAGTAGGGAAAATGAATAGATTATTTGCAATAAATATAAACATAGATTTCGAATTAATGATGACAAGTACAATAGGAGTGGAGACAATACAGAGAAGGCACCAAGAGTTACTAAAAGCAATGGTCCTAGCAGGTAAAGCGGTTATAGCAGCAGGATGGAAAGATGCAAGCAAATGGACAGAGAGAAACTGGCTTAACTATGTGTTTGAAATTATTCAGGCAGAGATAATCTCCGAAATCAACCAAGACAAGCCATGGGAAGAAAAAACAGCAACAATCCAAGAGAAATGGGCCATATACTGGAGATGGATGGAAGAAGAACAAAGGAACGACGTTCAGTGGAAGCTTCAAACACTATGCCCCTGGCTGAGAGAAAAGGACTAAAAACAATGGACTGGAGGGAGGGGGGGGAGGAGGGGGGAAAATGTTAGAAAATGATGGAATACGAAAATGTATAATCAGAATGAAAATAATAAGAATAATAAAAATATTTAAACAACAAAAAAAAAGGTAATCCCCTGCAATGCCCCCAGGCTAGGCGTTCCTTTTGACCCTCATGCCAAGATCCCTTAAGAGGACCTCCATACTCAGGAAAATGGGCACACAGGCCAGCTTTCCTGAGAATCCATCCGGACTCATGTTGATACTGCCACAAGACCTGGGCCTCCATTCACCCAGCTCCAGCCAATGCTCCTACAGCTGTAGCCAAGCACATAGGTCATTCCTAATACCATGCAGTCAGATATCCATCCCCCAGTGAGGCAAATGAACCCCATCAGGCTGAAACAGGGCTTTCAGTTGAAGCAAAATGTCCGGATGGCAAATCCTGCAGCCCCTCATGGCCTCCATGGTCTTGCCCAGCCTCTTGTTCATCTTCCTCCATGCCATTTCAACCCAATCAGGATAGCAAGTCCCACACCAGGAGCAGCGCTGCAGCCAATCACCAGAAAAATGTCATAGTAGTTCCTCTCTCAACAATATACACATGTCTACCTAGGTCTGGTGCACCACATCAGTGCCAGAGCAGGCCCCCAAATAATTCTCACCAAGTTGTATCACCAGTGCACTGGGATGCTTGCAGTCTTGCAAATAGGACCACACTGTAGATAGAAGAATCCCATTGATACCTCACTTTCCAAGCCAGGTGACTCCCACCTTGTTAGATCGCACTAACAAAGGACTCTTAGAGTGATTCAGCAAGTGATTCAGCTTTATTGGAAGTAACGAACAAGCACTCAACTCAGTAAGAAACCAGAACAGAAAACAGTGGGAGCTTATGCTCCTTTTAAACATAACCGGGCTAATGTAGCCACGCCTATTTACAATTAACAACCAATGAGATTGCTTAGTTAAGGACCAATGGGAGTCTTTCCCTCCTAGGGAATGGTATCGTTCTGATTGGTCGCTGTTACGAAGCCACCAATAGGAAGTTCGCTCAGAGGAGCCCTGGTCTGGCTCGAAGCTTAACATAGGAGTCCTATGAGGTGATTCATGTAATCGTTTCAATACATTACAATTCCTCCCCCCTAAGTTAAGTCATCATCCATTTGTTTTATTATTTACATACATTCAAGTCATGCTGTTGTACATCAACTGTTCCAAAATACTTTATTACAATCGTAGTCTTTTAGATAAGTCGGCATCTGCCGCGTACGCTGAGACCTGCGAAGCGGTGCAGGCTCTATGGGCACACAAGGTTGTGAGTCACTGTGGGGTTCACTACAGCCTGGTTCAGGCACAAACTCTACTGGGGTTTCAGCCCCGCACACAGGGGTCTGCCCTGACTCGGGGACAGTACCGGGCCTTTCGGTACTCACCGACTGCTCTGGGGGTCTCCACTCAACATTGGGGAATTCAGCCGTCGGAGAGTCAGCGCTGTCCTTAGCCCAACGTCTCCTTAGCTGATCTATGTGGCGCCGCCATACTCGACCGTCAGCCAACTGTACCACATACATGCGAGTACCCACAGAGTCGGATATTACCCCAGGAAGCCATAAGTGACCATTAGCATAATTCCGTGCAAGAACCTTGTCCCCTTTTTCAAACATTCGTACCTTCGGTTGTGAGTCGGTACGCTCGGAATGATCGTCAGTGAGATCCGGATGCAACCTGTTTAACCGAGTTGTGAGCCTCCGCCCCATTAGCAACTCGGCCGGACTGCGGCCTGTAGCACTGCAGGGGGTGGTGTGCTGCCGCAAAAGAAAGGAGCCCAGCCTCTGGCTCCAGTCCCCTTCGTCCATTTTCCCTAAAGCCTCTTTTGCCGTTCTTACCATCCGTTCGGCCTGGCCATTAGACGCCGGATGGAAAGGGGCCGAAGTCATTTGGCGGATGCCATTACTCGTGAGGAAGTATCTGAACTCCTCAGAAACAAATTGAGGCCCGTTGTCACTGACGATGACGTCAGGCAACCCGTGTGTGGCAAAAAGGCGGCGAAGCGCATGAATTACGGCTAGTGAAGTGGTCGACTTCATGTGTACAACTTCTAACCATTTAGACATTGCATCTACGACAATCAAGAACATTTGCCCTTGGAGAGGGCCAGCAAAATCTATATGCAACCTGGCCCAGGGTTTCCCAGATGATTCCCAGGCTTGGGGTGTAGCGTGTGGGGGATCAGGTCTAACCTGCTGACACTTGGAGCAGACTCGCACCCACTCCTCGATTTCCTTGTCCAGTCCTGGCCACCAGACATACCCTCTGGCCAATGCTTTGGTGTGCACCATCCCAGGGTGACCCTCGTGCAGGGATTCCAATACTCTCTTCCTGAGCTGGGCAGGGACCACCACCCTATTGCCCCATAGTAGACACCCCTTGGAAATCGAGAGTTCGTTTTGGCGGCTTTTGTAAGGTGCGAATTCAGGCTCAATGCTCCCAACCGGCCACCCCCTCCACACCCAGTTAAGTACTCGGGAGAGAATGCAGTCCTTGGCCGTCAGTGCCGCAATGTCCTTGGACGACACTGGTGCCTGGGGGAGCTCATCCAGAGCCAGGACCTCACACGCAGGGGCAGGGTCGGATCCCACACAGGGCAATGGGCATCGGCTAAGGGCGTCCGCATGTCCGATTGCCTTCCCAGGCCGGTGTTCGAGGTCATAATCGTACGCCTGCAAAAAGAGCGCCCATCTAAGCATACGTGGGGACATTATGTTTGGCAACTGCTTATCGGGCGCAAAAATCCCCAGTAGCGGCTTGTGGTCAGTGACCAGCAAAAATCGTCTGCCAAAAATAAAATCATGGAACTTTTTGACAGCCGCTACCAACGCCAGACCTTCCTTGTCTATCTGGGCATAGTTCCTCTCTGCCGCAGATAAAGACCGAGAATAAAAAGCGATAGGCGCTTCGCTCCCATCAGGCATCAAATGGCTCAAAACTGCGCCTACTCCAAAAGGTGAAGCGTCAGCAGCTAACACCAGGAGCTTCTGATCATCGTAGTGCGTCAGCACGTCATTAGATGTCAACAGCTCCTTAACTCCCACAAAAGCCCGTTCCTCAGCCTGTCCCCATTTCCATTTAGCCTCCTTATGCAAGAGCATGTGCAAAGGGGCAGCCACCGATGCCTTATGCGGTAAAAACGCATGATAAAAATTGAGGAGTCCTAAAAATGCCTGGAGCTCCTTCTTACTCACCGGCCTGGGGGCGTTCCGGATTGCAGCTACCTTGTCGTCCGTGGGGTGCACCCCGTCTGCATCGATCCGGAATCCCAGGAACTCCACACTGTTAACTCCCAGTGTGCACTTAGACCGTTTAACCCTGAGCCCTGCGTCCTGGAAACGCTTTAAGACTTCCTTAACACGGGCTATTAGTTCCTCTTCAGACTTCCCGGCTATTAATACGTCGTCGAAGTAGGGCACCGTGCCTGGTACCCCCCTCAAGAGTTTCTCCATCAAGCCTTGAAAAATTCCGGGCGCCACATTTACCCCGAACTGCAGGCGATTTACCTTAAACGCGCCTCTATGGGTGACAATCGTCTGGGCTTCAGCAGCCTCAGGAGTGACAGGCAACTGTTGGTATGCCTGTGCCAAGTCCAATTTGGCAAAAATTTTCCCTCCCCCCAAGGAAGCCAGAATGTGGCTTATAACCGGGACTGGGTAGGAGTGTTGCTGTAACGCCTTGTTAAGGGTGCATTTGTAATCCGCGCATAAGCGTATGGACCCATCAGGCTTGACAGGCGTTACAATCGGGGTTTCCCACTTACTGTGAGGAACAGGCTCCAAAACTCCCTGTTCCACGAGTTTGTCAATTTCCTTCTCCACCCTAGGCCTGAGGGGAATTGGGACCTTCCGATATTTCAACCTGATTGGCTTTACGGATGGATCAAGTTCGAACGCAACCGGGGGCCCTTTGTACCGCCCCAGACCCTCTGCAAATACATCAGGGAACAGGTCATACATCATATCCCATTTATTCTCAAGCGTTTTGTTAACTCCTGAAATACCAATGCCTAATGGCTCAAACCAATCCAACCCTAGTAAGTTGACCCGGTCTCCCTCGGCAATAAGAAAAGATAGCTTAACACATTTCCCCTTATACTCAACATCCGCAGTGTCCCGTCCGGCCAGGGGAATTCGGTTGCCCTGGAAGTCGGACACTCGGGTCTCCGCAGGCTGGAGCCGCCGTCGGCTTCTGGTTGGGAACAACGCTTGCCAGGATGCTGCAGAGATCACTGTCACCGAAGATCCGGAGTCCACCTCCATGGTGCACGGTCTGCCGTCGAGGAGTGGGGTCACGGTGATCTTGCCCTGGCAACTGGTGCGATTGATGACCGATGCGCTTGATAGGGATGCTGTCACCGAGTAGCTTGCTTCTGGTGCTGATGATTGCTGCTTTCCCCGGGCGTTGGGTGGTGTGGTCTTCTGTGCCGTCCTGCTGTTGGATGTAGGGTCCTTCTGCGCCGACCTGCAGACTCTGGCGAGGTGTCCACGCCGCCCACACGCTCTGCAGTTTACATCTCGAGCCCAACAGGAGTCGCGCTGGTGTTTCCCGCCGCAGCCGGAGCACGGCTTGACGCTGGTAGTCTTCGCTGGGGTCCGCTTGCCTCGGACCGCGTTGACGTCATCGTCCGCTTCTTCGCCCTCGCTGTCTCGCTGAGAGTGGACGCTGGGCTCTGCCATCCTCTGGCGGACCTCCCTTGTGGACTTATCTGCTGCTTCTGCGGCCACGGCCTCGTCGTAGGCCACTGCCCAGGTCAGGGTGGTGCGGGCGAACAGCCTCTGTTGCAGCCTCTCGTCTTTAAGGCCACAGACGAGACGGTCTCTGAGGGCTTCCTCTACGTTGTGGAAGTTACACGGCCGTGCGGCTTTGCGAAGGGCCGCCACGAAATCCGCGATGGTCTCGCCTCCGGCCTGGTTCCGCTTGTAAAATGCGTGCCGGCAAGCAATCTCCGACGGCTGTGGAGAATAGTGAGCCTTAAGCTTCTCAGTGATGTCAGCGTAGGTGACAGTCTTTATATCAGTTGGGGCCACCAACGACCTGGCTATGTCGAAGGTCCCCTTCCCGCAGGAACTCAGGAGGCACGCCCGTTTCTTGGCCTCGTCTGTAATGTCGTGCGTTTCCAGATGGAACTCGAACCTGGATAGGTAGGAGTCCCAGTCTTCTGAGGAAGGTTCGAAGCACTCGAACTTCTGGCTTCCAGCCATCGTGGGAGACTTGGGCACCGGAGCTGGTGGCGCCTCCGCCGGATCGGCTGCTGTGCTCTGCTCGCTTTCTTCCGAGTCCGAAGTGTGGATGTCCGCAGGGCTGCCTACCTGCTCTAACATCCCACCTTCGTCGCCAATTGTTAGATCGCACTAACAAAGGACTCTTAGAGTGATTCAGCAAGTGATTCAGCTTTATTGGAAGTAACGAACAAGCACTCAACTCAGTAAGAAACCAGAACAGAAAACAGTGGGAGCTTATGCTCCTTTTAAACATAACCGGGCTAATGTAGCCACGCCTATTTACAATTAACAACCAATGAGATTGCTTAGTTAAGGACCAATGGGAGTCTTTCCCTCCTAGGGAATGGTATCGTTCTGATTGGTCGCTGTTACGAAGCGACCAATAGGAAGTTCGCTCAGAGGAGCCCTGGTCTGGCTCGAAGCTTAACATAGGAGTCCTATGAGGTGATTCATGTAATCGTTTCAATACATTACACACCTTATTCTGCAGGCCGAGGTCTCTGCCCCTACCCAACAGGACCACATAGATACTCCCTCAAAGCACAATGCTGTGTCCACAGGTCCATACCAATGCCAAAATGAGGGCAAGCTGAGGCAGGGCAGTGCCCTAAGTAGCAACCTGGATACCATCACTCCACCAGCTCTCCCCAAGTTCCCTGATAGGCCCAGCAGTGGGTGGGGGTGGACCCCAGCTTCCAGTGTTCATTTCCAACTTGCCCCCTCCACCCCAGCAAGAGCTACTGTTAGCCAAATTGCCTTATTTTACTAATAAGCCTATCGAGGAGGGCGGGGTATAAATGCGAAAAATAAAAAATAAATAAATAAATAATAAATTTGCAGAATTATGGATGGCAATAGGCATAAAATATAGGATCTTAACCCGTGTATACCAGAGTCAGGATTCCTAGAGGCCATGAATAGACAAGATTAGGTTGCTAAAATAATGTATTTCTTTACTAAATATTCTCAAGCATACAGATAACAATAAGCAAGCAGTCATACATACAATACAGAGCTAAGAATACAGGGTTGAAAAGATAGTGATGTTTGCTTGAGCAGGAGTATCATTGGTGGGTAATACTTTACCTGTCCGGGCACCAGCTTCTTCACTGCCATGATGCTATGAGATCGACTTTAGATCCAGATTATAAAGTGGGAAAATTCTTACAGTGCTTATCTGCTGTTAGGAGCAGAGGTTCTTAATTATTTATTGATTTGATTTATATACCGCCTTCCCTGCAAGCAGGCTCAGGGCGGTTTACATCCATTTTAGTATAGTACTGTTAAAGTAACCATTTAATAACAAATTAAAACAGCATAAAATAATAAATCATAAAATACCATGTAAAACAGTTTGTGCTGCTTCCTTGGAGTAAGTGTGTCTTGTGGACCCAGTGACCTCGAGCTTCTTCAGGAGCAGCAGAAGAGGACTGAGCAAAGAGGCAAAAATGTTGCCCTAGCCAATTATCTGTTTTCTCAATCCAGTCCTGAATTTCTAGCATCCAGAACTGTACACTATTCTTCAATTTCCATATAGTCCAGATGAAAAAAAGATATACATGACAAACTTTATTGAAGAACAACAGAGACCAGGAAACTCCCAATATAGTATGAAAGTATATTTCCATGTAAGAAGTAATTTATGCTAGTGGTTCCCTAATATTTCCCAGTATTCTCAAAGGAAATTAGGATTGCATAGAGAATGGATGGGCAGATTTCAAACTTGAAAGATCTACCTTATTTTTTGTTTTTTGCTGGAGCTTAGGGGTTCATCAGCTGGACAAAGTCACAGAAAAGCTCCTCCCAGGACTTGAAGCCAATTACAAAATGGCTGCCCCAGAGAGCAGAGTCTGTCACAATTATCTGCTCAACCACATGAGCTGCACACTGGGGGATCTGCCTGTACAAGCTGAGTTACTACATATCAGCAGTTCCAACACTCTAAAAATGCTATACAAAGACCTGGTCACAGGCAGTCAATTTTATAAAGCCATTTTACAGGTAATGGATGCTCAGGCGGAGAGATTATCCCTTCTTATTTTTAAACAACAGCAATTTGTGTCAGCATGTTTATTTGGATTTTATTAGAGAGGAGAGGTGCCAACTATACTGGTTACCATAGCAATGAACCAGCTCTCAAAGGGTGGGAAACTTTCTCAAAATTGGCAAAGGGTTGGACAAACACTAGACTTGTCCTGAGAGTTATATTTAAAGAATGGGGCAATTAGAATTCCCAGTGACTTCAGGGTCAGGAGCTTTAGAAGATCTTTCATGACCCAGGCTGGGATCTTCCAGTAGATTGTGATCTTCTAGCCCACCCAGTATACAATGTGTTGTCCCATTTTTTATTTCCACAGGTCTTGTGTGATAGATTAGACTTGAGCAGGGCTTTAAAAAAAAAAAGAGGTGCCAGAACTCTCAAGAGAGAAATGAAGTTTTCAATCTGTATCCTGAAAACTCATGAACTTTCAAACATTGTTAGAAGAATTTTGTTGTAGAAGTTCTGGAACTCCATTTTGGTGTGTTCTCCCAGTAAAAAAGCCCTGGATTTCAGATACAGTTAATTGCTCAAGTGAATCTCATAGCTGACCAGAATTTAGAACCAACTTTTTGTACTCCAAGACCAATACTGAACCCACTAGCAGAATTCAGCACTAAAGAATCTCAGTAGAAATTTTCTTGTTTGGGAGATAGCCTTCTTTATCACAATGGCACAACCAGAAGTTCACACTGCATAGTGGACATTAATTTGACCCAAGATTTAAATCAGACTTTGGACTTAAAATGTCTGACATTTCTCTGCTAACTTGGCTCCTATATAATCCTGTCTCATATATTATTTTGGAGTGAGTGGGAAAAAAGCATGCAAAGAAGATGCACTGCTGAGCAAAACTTCAACAAGAAAAACATAGCAGTAGTATTGTCTGAAAGCCTGAACAGCAGAGAAGGACCAGAAAGGGAAGGAGTAATCGGTAAGCAAGGACATTAGGAACAGAAGATGGGAGGTGTATATATGATGAGGATAGAGCTACATATTGGTGTCGAGCTACATATTGGAGCACAGAGGCAAAATTCAATTTTATCACATGTGCTAAAAAAGAGAAAGATAAGAAGACCTCCTTTGAACCCTATTCCTAGTATGGATGCAGACACACCTATAGGGGAAGAGATTGTGCGGATCATGTCCTGAATATTTACCATAATCTGCATGACTTCTGTCTATCACAGATTTGAGTTTCAGTTATGAGAATCTGAGTGTTTAGTGCAGAATTCCAGAGACCCTGCCAATGCATTTAGAAGGGAGGAGGAGGAGGAGGAGGAGATTGGATTTATACCCCATCCTTCACTACCCAAAGGAGTCTCAGAGCAGCTTACAATCTTCTTTCCCTTCCCCTCCCCACAACAGACACCCTGTGAGGTAGGTGGGGCTGAAAGAACTTTCTCAAGAACTGCTCTTTCCAGAACAGCTCTGAGAGAACTGTGACTGACCCAAGGTCATCCAGCAGGTGCAAGTGGAGGAGTGTGGAATCAAACCCAGTTCTCCCAGATTAGAGTCTGCACTCCTAACTACTACACCAAACTGGAGCTGGCAACCAGAAATCATAACCTGGGGCTGGCAACCAGAGGAATTATATATCCTGATCATGTTTTATAAAATACTAACTGTATCATAATTTAGAAGGGCATTCTTATGTGTAGAAGAATATGAGCATGTTCCAGAATGCAACCCAATTTAATGATCTCATCAAGACTTTTCAATTTTCATGATGCTCAGCAGCCTTCTCCCACTGTAAGCTATTGCAAGACAACCAGTAATTATACATTAAATGCTTTTTGCTGAGACAGTACCAGCCTCTCAACAATAAGGCACCAAAATGAAGCCTTATGGCATTCAAACTCCAAATTTAATTGACACGGGTACCCAGAAAATCGAGCCTAGATAACTCTATAAATGAAATAAGATCTTTTAGGTCTTTTAGATAGGAATAACTTTTCACATATCAATGACAGCACTTTATAGTGATGAGTGTAAATTCATTTTGACATACAGACAAGTAATTACAGCCTTTAAAAAGGTATGAATACCAACCACAGGGAAAGATGACTAAAAGAGTAAGGTTAAAACAAAACAGTGGCATAAGTGCATAGAATTCTTCATTGGTATAATTCTATGGAAATCACCACTGATTAATCTGTTTTACTCAGAAGCTTTATTTCTTGACAATACTTTTTTTAAAAAACTTTTTAAACAAATCTACTTCAGCTA